ACTGAAGATTCTGAAGCAGAAGCCTCTAAAGAATAAAAGACTCTGAGAGTTTAGAAGCTTAGTCATCAGAAGACTCTGAAGATACTGCGCTGCATAGTATTGAGAATCTGATATAAAAGACTCTGCTCTGACAGAACTACACGCTCAAGCACACAAGCTGCATATACTCTGATTCAGCATAATCTGAAGAACATCCCAAGACTCTGAAGATCCAGAAGATCTCTACTCTGGAGATTCTGAAGATCCAGACTTTGATGTTGATAGCTGAACTTACTTAGTGAAGAAGATTTGAATATGTCCGTTGGCATATCTCAACAGCTCTTTCCTATTTTATGATAGACACAAGAACACAGACAAAAAAGGTTTTATCTGTGCATTCCATTCTAAGGAAAGTTTCTGCAATGTGAAGACAAAAGGCACCAGGCTTTTTCAGCACATCCTCCAACGTAAAGACAAAAGGCACCAGGCTTTTTCAGCACAGCCTCCAACGTTGAGAAGACTTCATGGATCTAAGTGCCTATATAAAGAAGTTCACTCCATCTTCTTCAAAGACGAACTTCTTGCAAAAAAAATCACTTATCAAAGCTAATTTCTCAAAAGCTCTTATATTCTATTTGCTGTAACATTGTTCTTAAACTTAAGAGAAATATCACAGTTGTGATAATAGCTTTTTAGAAGCATTCTTACTCTTGTAATAGTTTTACATTGATTGTAAAAGGTTTCCTTAAGAGGATCCAGTTGGGATCAGTAGCTCTTGAGAAGACTAAGAACAGTTGTTCTTAGGTGTTACTATTGTAATCTGTTTAATTAAATAGTGGATTAAGTCCTTGACTGAGAAAGGCAAATCACTCTTGAGAGGGTGGACTGGAGTAGTTGAGTTCAACGAACCAGGATAAAAATAACTGTGTTTGAATCTTTGATTATTTGTCATACTTATTCAACCCCCCTTCTAAGTATTTTCTCACCTTCACTAACAAGATAATATGAACACACGAGAAAAATAAGATAAAGACATATTCCTCCGATGTTTTTCAAAATTTAGAATTGGAAATTATGTTGGAATTGTATCACTAACAAATATCTAAGAAATAAGAATTGAAAGTTTAATCCAACTCTTAAATCAAAAGATGGGAGCCTTCCTGAATTTCAAGAAAAATCAAGAGAGAAGGAAATTTTAGAGAAGTTGAACAAACTAGTTCTATTACTTAAAAATAACGATATAGAAACCGAAGAATCATCAACTTTATCATACTCCTATCATACAACTCCAGTGCAATCCTACGAAAGAACATACTAAATAATTTAATGTTCCTTGAAAAGAATATATATATATATATATATATATATATATATATATATATATATATATATATATATATATATATATATATATATATATATATATATATATATATATATAATTGATAAAAGAAAGAGGAAAAATATCTTAAAGAGAGTTATTTCTTCTCGTGACCAATTGACCATTCATAAATATTACAAAAATTTCATTTCTATTACTTATTAACAAAAGTCAATTTAATTGAGTATGAATTAAGCTTGATTGGGTTTACTACTTACTCTATTTGTCCCAAATGACAATAAATAGAGCACATAGAAGTCAAATATGTCTCAACTGACAACAAATAGAACATATAAGAGCTCAATTTGTCCCATATAACAAGGAACTAAGAACATAAGAGGATATGGGATATTACATTATACGAAGAGGGGGCGTCAATGACTAGATACTCATCCTTTATTTCTTTGGCTTAGTCATGCTTTGAGATTGTGATCCTCAGGGTGAGATACCATTTCACTTGCACATGTTCTCCAGAAAAATCTGACCAACGATCCTTTGGGGGGGCTTCAAGTCCTCGGGATCGAGATGCAATCTCTCGAATGCGCCTCAATATAGTATTCTAGTACATCTTCCCTGATCCACTTGGACTCTTTCGATCTCCCATTCTTCGCATTTGACAATGATGACCATGGGAACATCGTTGTGAGGATGGATGTCAAATGCAACTTCTTCCGGGAAGACAATCGTTTCCATACTCTTGACCTCGATGAGGTTTTCTATACTGAAAACTTGATGGCCATATCTTTTGCGGGTGGAGCTAGTTTCAGTGTCATCGGCAAACCCTCCAACTACGGTGCTAAGTGTGTGATGTGTCGCTTTATTGCCCTCTCCTTGGGACGCTTATTTGGATTTGTTTGGATAGAGCTTCCGGAACCTTCTCGCCCGCGCAAATTACATCTCTTCTTCGGGTTAGAGGAATCTCCCTTCACATATTTCTTAAGGTGTCCCTCCTGTATCACCTTCTCAATTTCCCTCTTAATTTGGTAGCAGACCTCGGCATGATATCCCTTGACCATATGGAACTTACGCAACCTTCCAGGCTCAGATCCCATCACCTCGGCCTTGGGGGCAGATGGTGTTGGGATGTTGTGATGGTGGAGTACCTCACATCAGATCTATTCTCAACGGGTATTCAAAGGTGTGAAAATCTTCTTCGCCTTTCCCACTCTTTTGAACATGGAGTTGTCCTTCACAGACGAGGTGTAATTGCTTTTCCATAAGGGATGAGAGCTCTTGTCGTCGGGGATGCACTCCTTGAAGTCGCGAGCCTTCTTTTCAACATTGTTTTCCTCTCCTTTGATGTAGCACCCCGTCCTGGTGGTTGCCTTAACTAGTGTGGGTGTAGGCTTTTAGGCGAGGGATTCATTGAAGTTTTCTGCCTTAAGTCTATTTTAGAATGCCTCCACGAATATTTCTTGGTTCAGAGGAACGACCTTGATGGTAGCTTCATTGAAGCGGATAAGGTAGTCCCACAATAATTCTGACGGATCTTGTTGAATGTTAAACAGGCTAGTGGTGGTTATCTTTCTATGGCGACTGGTAGATAACTGGTCTACCAGTTTCCTTACCAGCCCTTGATAGTTGTTAATAGAGGAAAAAGGCCCACGTACCAACTTATGGTCATGGCATCGCAGCTCGTCCATGGCGATGCGCCTCTCCGACATGGTATTATCATCGCCTGTACTGCTGGTACCCTTGGGTGTAGAGGATGTAGCTCTTTTGTTCACCATGTTCGTTAATGGCTAGGTATAGCAGTCGAGGGTACGATAAGAATGATGATGGTGATTAAAAGATGTGCGACCCAGGTTAGTTTTACCAGAGGCCCTATGGCGGGCGCCACCATACTAGTCAAAAAGTATAGGGTGTGCATGTTCCCTCTGCAAGGGTAGGGAGTATCATAGGCCTTTATAGGTATATAACATATTTTAGTAGTGAGGGCTTGCTCACGGGGGCGAGAAGCCATGTGTTGTGGTTTTTGAGACTGTTTAAAGGACCAACTCATGTGAGTTGAAAGACCATGTGAATGGTCGGAGCTGCTTGATTCTAAGCTGGGAGTTAGCTTTGTTATGTATGTTACGGTGGTAATAAGCATAGTGATTTAAGAGTAATGGATATTATGTATGATTTAGAGTTTGTCCTTTATCCCCTTGAGGGGTGGTGTATTTTTTGAAGTTTGTCCTTTCACCCCTTTACTTGGCCTTAACTGCTCCCCTCTTACTAGGGGAGGTTAGTGACCGTTTATCTTCTAGGAGTCAGTAAAGACTTACTTGAATCCCACGTTCGAGGAGCCCATTGGGCGAGCCCCCTTAGACCCCGTCTGGGCAGCACAGATATAGGGCGAGAGCGCCTTAGTATAGGATTTTACCAAATACAACACTACAAATATTGAGAGTAAACATATATAATAACTAAGTAAAAATTGCATTAGTCTTTCTAATTACTTGATATATTTAAAGGGTCATGGATATGATCAAGGAATTGTTTGTATTGACTGAAAAAAGCTACTTCACCTAAAAAGTATATCTTGTGAGTGTGAAAATCCTTTGACAAATTCCTTTGAGTCGTATAATGAAATTTTATTTTATTCTTTCAAAGTTACAACCCTTAGCCAAATTTAAAAAGAAAAACAATATTCACTACATTGTCTTAAGGATATGAGAGCAACCAAAAAGCAAGGGTAATGTGAAAATGAAAGTTGGGGTGAAAAAGCAAAAGGAAGAGATTTCAAAGAAAAATTCAAGTAGTACTGGTGCTTGAAAAGAAATAGAAATGCTTTGACAAAAATCATAGTTAAAAATCAAAAGTCAAGTATACGAAAAGGAAAAAGGCACCAAAAGAAAATGGTTGTAGGAGAGTCATAACAAAGAAAGAGAAATACGTGGAAAAAAAAAATCTTACGCTCTCTTATCTTTAGGCTTTTGAATTCAAAGAAAAAATATTTTTTGTAAGCTTAGTCACGTTACAACCTAAAGAAAGACTTTAGTGATCTATGATTGATAATATAACTTGTGATAATGCTGAGACGAATTACAAAGTATTTTTATAGTATGTGCATTGTCTAAATTTTTTAAAAAAACACTAACCATTAAGAGATATTTATTGGGATCATGATTGTGATGAATGATAACTGTTAATTTAAACATGTTTAAAAATCTTATTTTGGCCAAACAAATTGCTCATATATATGATATGGTTGAGGATAGTCATGATATTAATTGTGACCTTACATTTTAAAAAAGAACACCATGTCATAGAAAATAATTAAAAAAAAAAAAAACTTTTAACTCAAGTCAGTCAAGTTGTCAAAATAATCATGCGACATTTTTTAATTTTATTTCAGGGTAAACAAAAAATAATCATGCAGACATTTTTTAATTTTGTAAACAAAAAATAATCATGCAGACATTTTTTAATTTTGTTTGAGGATAAACAAAAAGGTAAGTTGTAGAGAGTTAATAAGTATTACATTTATGTTAAATACGTTTTGCATATATATGAAATATAAACACTATGCATTTGCTGTAATTAATATATACACCTGAATCATTCATGACAAATCGAACTCGCAAAATTTCTAGACCAATCTGGTGTTAAAATGGTGAAATAAAAAAGGTAGAACTGTGGCAATTATCTTTAATTATCAGAGAATCCAACATCTGCAACACCCTTTGGAATCTTGGGGGCCTTCAAACCATCGATCCCATGTAGGATTTAAGGGACCAATTGTTCTGTCAAACCAGAAAAATAGATCTTGTCACAAAACATGTCACAGGTAATGTATTTATTTACGACTAAACCATGAAAGATTGCACAGGAGATTTTACAATGGAAGTAATGGATCAGGCCTTTTCTCGACATTGCTAAGCATCCTGGCGAAACAAACACCGAAACAAAAAATCATACTTAATCAAAACCAAAATTGATTTCACGATATGAAAATATTTTGCGCTTATAGGCTTACTCTTTGCATGATGCAGATGCTTTGTCCATTCTCTCAAGCTTTTCCAACTCTTCCTACAACAAATTAGAATCAATTTTGAAAGGCAGACTCAATTCTACCCGAGAGCAACCAAACATGTCGAAACCAATTCTACATAGCCTAAATCAATTTTGGGTGCTCCAAACGTAAAACCAAACATACATTATCATAGTAAAATGTATCTTTCACAGCATGGATGGTTTCATGGCCAAAAGGTTCATATATCTATCTAGACACAATTGTTTGATAAATATAAATTTTCAACTAAGAATAATTGATAATAATATGTTGTTACATAATAACTATGTAAGAAATTCAAGATTCAAGGGTTATAAAGGTGTTTTCACCCAACCTGCAAATTGGGTCAGATTGGGTCAGTTGCAACATCAGAAGCAACAAAACAAAAACAAGAAGGTCTCTTTATCTATAGAGGACCTCACATTAAATAAAAACACAAGTACCCTTTTAACCATCCAAGGTAACAACCTTATAATAGAGATATATGGACCCCAATTACAAGTACTTCTACAACAACAAAAACCAGTTCCCACCAGAAGAATACCCCCAGAAAACCAATTAAAAAAAACTAAACTTTAAGGATAAAGTTAAAAACTTTACCAATCCAATTTACTATACTTACATGGAAGAACAAAAAAAAACACCCCATCAAAAAGAAAAAGGTGAATAAAAGAAAACGACAGAGAAACATAAGAAACAAAAAGAAAATCACCGAGAGGACAAAACTCCAAAACATGGTAAAGATGAAGTAGCTACCTACCTCTAAGTACCTTGTTTCCTGTTCCAATCTTTTAAGTTCAGCATGTATCCTATGTTTCCCTTTCGTGTCTGAAGAAGAAAAAGACAGAGTTTGAACAAAGTGGGTCATGGGGTTCTCGGAATCAGACTCATCCGATTGCATTTTCTGATACTGAGGTGGGAAATTGGCAATGAAGATATACGAAAGGGAGTAGAAAGATTCGATTTTTGAAGGAAAAAAGATGAGGCAGGAATGTGAAAGGTTTGACCATGAAAGAAAAGAGTGAGTTGTGAAAGCAACAAAGCGGGATCTAAGGTTGGTATTGAGAATACAGAGAAAGAGACAGGTTTGAGAGAGCGGAATTGGGGGGTGAAAAAACAAAATTTAATTTCGATGGTTGTTGATTTGTTGAAGTTGACGTTGTTGTTTTGTGTGTTGTGTTGGAAGAAAGTTTGTTTCAAAGTTTTACTCTTTTTGTCTTTTTAGTGTCTCTATCTCTGCTTGTACTTGTTTATTTGTTTCTCTCTCTTACTTTGAGACTTTAGTTGCTTGAGCGGTGACGGTCCACTGACGAGCACTTGGCCAATTATTTTGTCACTTTCTCTTATATACATTTTATAAGTATTTAGAAGAACATATTTTTGTAAGAATAAATATATATTTTTTATCAAGACCATTCCATGAAGAAAAAATACTAAAAGAAAGAAGACCTTTTATGGCACGCTATACACCTCAAGTGGATTTTTACATATCTTTTTTTATTTTTGAAATATATTTTTTAATACATCTTATACATACGCAACCAAAGTCATTTTTAGATATTGTTTACTGTGAAATTTGGTAAACAACTTCTGATCTATCAATTTTGGGAATAATCGAGTAACTTGCAGGATCGACCATACAAATCTTAGGACATGTGTTAAGTTTAAAAGAAAATCTAATTTGAATTCCACGTTCGTTTATGAAAGACTTGTAAAGTAGAAATAACTTGGAAATTAACAAGGTTGTAAAACAACGAGCGTCATTCTTAATGCATCGAAAGTTAAAGGGAAAACGTAAAAAACTTTGAAATTAAAGGCAGTAATGTAAATGACTTTGAAATTAAAGACAGTAATGTAAATGTGTGCACCGTCGAAAGTAAAACAATAGCGTAAAATGCAGGAAAGTAACTGTCGAAAGGAATTAAAAAGACTTTGAAAATAACAAGTTTAAAGGAAAGTGCATAAGGTTAAATTTCAGGTTAAGGTAGAGTGCAAAAAGTTAAATAGCATAAAGTGTAGATGAAAATAAAGTTTCAGGAAAGGCATAAAAAAGACGGTTAAACATAGAAGACATACAAATGGTAAAGACATGGAAATTGCATTAATGAAAGGGGATGGTGTTGCATCACGTACATTCTCGCTAACTTGTTTCTCTACACGTGGGTACTTTGAGTGATTTAGAGTGACTTGTACAAGACGAATGAACTCCCTATTCTATAAAAATAACTCCTATTTATAATGCTAGCAAATAACTACTAAGTGACGGTTATTACTCAAAACGTGTCTTTTAGCGCTTTTTCCTCAACTTCAACCGTTCCCACGTTCGCCCACTACCAATTTGAAACTCAAATATTAGGAATTCCCTCCAGCCTTAATGGTAATTGCCACGCGTTTATTCCGGCATGATCCTGGTCGAAGGCCTTTCTAACACTTAGCATTTTCCTAGAAATTTTCCCAACCTCTCTTCGACTCAGGCTTCACCAAAGCTTGGTCGAAGCCTTCTTATGTTTTACAAATAACATTCTGACTTGAGATAATTCTGATTTTGCTGGCGTCAAAAATGAGAGCTAACAGATACGCCTCATACATTTAGATTACTTTATTCTAGAGATATATTTCCAGAACAATTATAAGAAAATATTTTAGTTATTCAAATTAGTGGATATTTTGGATATTTATATTCGGAACAGTTTTAGGAAAACATTTTAATTGTTCAATTTAGTGGATATTCCGGAGATGTATCAATAGAGATGCATCTCCAGAATTGTGGGCGACAATTTTAATTTTTCTTGTAACCTTTGCATGTCAAGTATTTATGGAGATACATCTTCGAAAATATTTGATATAGCTTCTTGTTGCATGATCAGCCCCCCATTGTTACCATGCTTCATTCTCAACATAAACCCTAATCCTAAAAACCCTTCATTCTCAATCCATTTTTTCACTCTGAATCTCCATCCTTTTGGTTCAACATATCACAAAAAGCAAAAGAATATAGAATTTCAGGTAAAGATTGTTCTTTTTCCTCTACATTGCTCACATTAATCATGATTTTTTTCTGAAAAAACTTACGTTGTGTCTGGAACGTGTATGAACTTGTCTGGAACGTGTATGAACTTGTCTGGAGATACATTTACAGAATGTGTCTGTATTCATTTTCTAGCCCTTCTGCAGCAATTGATTAATTAATGTTTTGTAATTGTTTTAATTGTTTCCAATAGATATGGTGCACTCCGACGTTTTCCCAAAATAAGTAGTTTCTTTGAACGATGTTTCTCCGAATGTTCAAGGGATTATTGTGAAGGCGGTAGATGTTGGCAACGACTTTAATAACAAGCAAGAGTTTGAAAACCATGATAAAATGCTTGAATGGATTTGCATGGAAGCATCTAGACTTAGATTTGATATGGTTGTCGAAAGGTTCGATAATGGCTCGGATAGGAGATGCACCTTTGTGACAATGCTCTGCGAAAGAAGCGAGAGATATCGAACTCCTCTCCAGAATCTTAAAAGAGACGACACGCGTAGTAGAAAATGTAAGTGTTTGTTTAAGGTTCGTGGTTACATGTTGGCAAACAAAAATTGGAGATTTGACGTGATATGTGGTTTGCATAACCATGATTTGTGTTTAAAGTTAGCCGGTTGTCATACCCCAAATTTTACCCTTAGATTCATTGATCTTCGCATATCATCTTAGTTTGATCATTCCTGCATAGCTAACCAATTTTACTAGACGTTGTTTGTTATATTTGTGAAGCTAGGGTTGCTACAGAAGATCCAGAGGACATGAAGAATGTGTGTGTGCTTTTTGTCTCCTGCAAACTGGGTTGAATTTCTGTAGAAGCATATACCCTCAGACTCAGATCAATATTCCTCTAAGAGGACTAGATTTTCCAGCCATTAAGTTAAGAAGTATTGAGAACTGGTTGGAGTTATGTGGAAGATGGATTTAGACTTCTCATAGCATGATTCGATTTTATTCATAAAGCGGGTTTTAATTTGTCAAATATAAGATTTTGGAACCGTATGATTGGAGGCGTTAAAATTAGATGGCAGAGTGTGGATATAAGTTTAAGCAAGAATCATTTTAATATGAAGTTTAAATCGATACATTACCCTTTTTTCCAAAACTTACCTACGTCGCTAATTTCACGGAGATTTCATACTTTTAAGTCGAGATCCAATCAAGATTGCACCGTAGATTATCACAAAGAGTTTCTAATTTTAGAAGTGCACTAATCAACTCCTAGAGTCATGTTGGGTGCATAGAACTCAAACAAAAAGACATCTATGTTAAGGTTTCTTAAAAGGAAAGTATCAGATTTCCAAGCCCAAAGTTCACAAGCCTCAAGTTGTTTTGAACTTCACACCAAGTCAAATTCAAGAAGTTTGCACATTCTATAGATTTATTTTCCTACAAACCACAAGCAGCTCATGAAGTGGATTCAAGATTCTCACCCATGCAAATCTCACGTGAAGTTCAGAGTTCAAAGATTTGAGAACTTGCAAGAATATTCAAACATACAAGTCATATATTCATTTTGATTTAAGAAGTTTCTCCAAGGAGGTTTATTTGTTTAAAGTTACAAAACATAGAATTAAAACCATGATAATTTAAATACCACTTCTCTGTATCAATTACAACAAGCGGGGGGAATAAACTTTCACTGTTATCATGCCCTGAACAATTTTATCACTTATAACAAAGGTGCCATAGGAGAATACAATTGATTTCTTTCGTGAATATTCAAGGAGCCCATGCGTTTTGTCAGTATGCATCAACAAGACCAACATTGTATTGCCACACGGTTGGAAGCTCAAGTCTAGGGGAGTCGTTTTTCCTTGCGTCTTTGATCTGAGATGGCGAGCTTTAAGGTGAGGCAGCAAAACAGAGCACACTATGTTTCCACTGGATTTGAGAACGTCCTCATACGCAGACCGACCGTTAGAGCCTGCAATAGAAGAAGAAAACGCACCAATTAACCAACACAAATCTTACAACATTCACAATGGACTCAAACAACTCCTTTTGGCCATGTTGGGCCACCAAGAAATCCTTCTGTAATACCTGCACAGAATTTGTCAGCACCAACAAGTGCTTCACTTCCAGTTCCCTTAAGGAATCCAAGCAACAGGACACCTTCAGACATCAATGTCTTCAACGCCTCAGCCTATGTCTGGTATATCACCATCACCGATAGTTAATCAGCCATCAACCCCCCACGGTGTATCTGCTGGACTGAGTGGAGGACTAAAGGCTCCACCGGAAGTCCCCCCTACAAGACCTGTTTCTCTAGGTCCACAATCAGATGTTGAATATAAGCCACCCCAGTCAAATGTGTCCATGATGCCACGACCTGGAAGTGTTCATCCACATCATGCAGGAATGTCACCGAGACCACCATCATCTTTGGGACCAATACCAGGAACTGTTCATTCAACTGGAAACCATTTATCAAGACCCATTTCATTTCCATCACCAGGAATACCCCCTTTCGCATACCACCCAAAGACTCGAGCTAGTAAACTATCTGTGAGGAAGGATTTTGAAAGAAAGCAACAAACACAAATAATTAAAACCGACAGAAGGTTTAGCTTCATTTAAAGAGAGTGTTAAGGTTTTGGTCGATTTACCTGCAAGATTGGATATAGGGATTCCAAGTGCAACCGGCAAAAAGCTCCAACAATGACAGGTTATTGGGGTAGTGCACACAGAAACCTGTAGCAATTTACTTAGAAAGTTTGTCATAAGGGTCGATACACACTATGAGGAAGAAGCCAATAAGAAAAGTGGTGCAAATACCATGTCTACTAAGCTAATGATGCTAAGAAAGAATGCACTTTTTTTTCCGTTCTACGACCATCACCAAAGAAGCCGATCCACTTTGACAGCAACAAGGA